TCTGTTTGCATCCGAAGTTCCTGTAAAGGCAGCTAAAACCCCTACTGGTTGTTTCCTTTTGGTTGTTTATAATCTGGGCAGAAGGGAACAATGTGGTTGGGGTCACCACATTTGAGGCAATGATCGGCGGCTTTCCTTTCTTGCCAAACGTTTTTTGTAATTCCCAATTTTTCCCAAGGTCTGTCGTCGGGCAAGCCAGGATGGGGTGGATACGGACGATCCCAGTTCTTGTTCCACGTGCCTCTTCCTCTTCCCCATGTGGAGTTGGGTCCTCGGCCACCTTGTGAGGGACTATTGCCCCTTCCTCCCACGTAGTAGCGTCCTTCGCCACCACCCCTCTGGGTGCCGGGTCCTCTTCCTCCACGACCGCGGCCTCCTCTTCCTCTGCCACAACCTCTACCTTGTCGCCCTCCCCCGCGGGTTGTAACGGTCGCGTAGTCCCCCTCCTGAACTACTGTGCCGTTGGGTTATCCCTCCAGACCATAATTTATTTGGTCGTAGGAGAGAGTCTCAACACTTTCTTCTTCGAAGATCAGAAGGAGGTTGTCTTTCTCAGGTATGTAACCTGAAATGGTGCGGTTCTGCCACTTCTTTCTCGCTTGCAGATCTTTCCAATAATGGCAATAATTGGCTTCGGCCAAGAAACCAGCATGGTCTAATGTGATCTTACTGAACTTCTCATAAGTCATCCCCTCTTCTTTGGTACGGGGATATAATTGAGTGCGGAGAGGATCCGGTGGTGCTCTGGCAAAGTTATTAAAAATTTGCGTCGCGATAAGTCCATGTTCATTGCTGAAGTTCGTCCATAGATTTAAGTACGCATACACTTTTCCATTTTCTATCTGCAATATTCAGGATTTACATTTCAGTTCTCTGTGCTAAGTTCTTACCCTCAAATTGTTCCCAGACTGCTTTAAAAAAATATTCAAGACGGGTCTGTTGGGAATGTTCTACCATAGACTGACAATTAGCTTCCTTCTGCAGGGAAATTGCAAAACTCATTGCATCTCCGGCCATACACGAACTGGTCATGAGAACCCTGTCCCAATACGAAATACGCTGCGTAGTGCAAAACACTTTCTTCCTTTTTGCCGGTGTATGTCCACGACACCTTTACCTTTATCTTTCTGGCGTCCCCTGCATCTTCTTGTAGCACGCCCTTCTTCTTCTTATCTCCGTCTCCATCACCTTTTCCATTTCCTCCATCTCCTTCGCCGCTACTTACCAATTTCTCAATCACGGCGGGTGTTAAAATCTTGTTGATCTGCTCGTCTAATTTTACAATATATGCTTGCACATGTTGATCTACTTCTGTTGCAGATCTCTGCAAGAAGGTATTTCAGACTCCCTCAAACTCATACTGGTGAGCTTCAACTTTCTGCAAGGTCTTGTTCATCACCGCCAACTCTAGTTTTGTATGGAGAACAGTTGTTCTCCATACGAGCAAGTTGTTCTTCGGTTGCTATTTGTTTTTCCTTCTGCGCCTGTAATTCTCTTTGCAATTTTTCATCCTCTGCATGCAGTCTTGTTGTTTTGCTGCTAACATTTTAGTGTGCAACTTTGCTCATTTTTCTTCTAGCAAGAGTTCCTTTTCCCTTTTATCCTCAATTGATGCCAATTTTGCGACAAACGTGTCCCTTTCTTCCTTCGTCTCTTCAATCCTGTCACTGGAATAGTTGTATTGGTCATACCAGTTTAAGGGAATGACCTGTATATTCAACCCACCTGTATGACTGTTTTCGCCACTTTCAGGCCGACGTCTGATGAGTCTGTCTGCATCATCTGCAGGTTCATCTTCTTCCTCTATAGTCTTTAGTTTTTCCTGCAATTCTTTTTCCAGTTTTTCTTTCAACTCTTTTTTAATTCTTTCTTGAAGTTTCTTCTTTCATTTGAGTTTTCTTCCTCAACTCTTCTCCTTTCTGCTTCTTGTTCTGTTCTTTTTCTTTCTTCTTCTCGGCTAAGCGGCAGTCTACTTCTGCCTGCTCTGCCGCTGAGAGTCCGGGCTTTGCTGTTCCAGATCTCATCATCATGCGGGAAGTGCACACTCTCCTGAAGCCGAGAGGAAAGAAGAAACGGAATAATGGCCCCAACAGAACAGACAGAGCCAACATCCCGTACATGGGGTAGTCATCCATGGTGGCGAACAGCACAGGGGAGACCTCCGCTGGCCACCAAGTAGCTACCCCGGATCCTAGTCTACTTGAGTGGATGGGATCTGTAACTTTTTCTTTTTTCAAAATTTGGATGCCACTGCTTCAGAACAACGAAATTTGATAATGCCGAGGATATATAACGTTTTCCTAATCAATATACAAAGTAGAAACTCTTCTTTTCTTTTTTGTTTGCTGCCTGTTGAGTTACTTCGCTGATCTATGCCTTTGATGGTCTGACTGGTCACTTTCGATAGAGTAGGTAGCTGGGAGAAACTTGAACTCACTTCAAAAACAAATCCAATTTATCACGGTTTTCCCTGTTCTCAGCCACTTACACTCTGACGTGGCAATACACAGTTCCCTGACTCAATCTTCCTTCCCTACCTATCGACAGACCAGATGGCTAACTCGGAGACCAAATGTTGACTCTCTAGTCCTATCTGTCAGATCAGACCAGGGCACAGGTTTCGTCCAGACAGCAGCAACGACCACCAGAAAGGAGGGGGAAGAGATACACCACACACAGCTTTGCAATCAATCGAGGTAAGTGGGGCAGGAGGTTCTTCTCTTCTTTGTAGCTGTTGATGAAGACTCCACGTTCGCTCCAATCGCTCCAATCGCAGGCAAGTCTTCTCCTCACTAGCCCCTTCTTCTTCGGCAAACTTCCCCCTCTATCCCAATCCAACACCTCTTCACCTCACCTCTTACTTCATCTCTTACTTCATCTCTTGCCAGTCATACTCAAGCCAGCTTATCCTTCTCGCCGGCCTTGATCATGCCAGCGCATCCAGTGAGAGTAACGAGTTCTGCTCCGACACCAAATTTGCAAGGAACCCGACTGTTTATCACTTGCTGGAGTGCATCAGATCACGTGCATATACACTGATTTCACAGATAGCGAAGTCTCACACAAAACCCAATAGAAGATGAATGAGAACCAGGAAGCTCAACTCGATTATCAAACTCAGAATTAGAGAGAGAACATCATGAGTTCAAAGTGTATAGCACTGAACAGAGTTACAAGTCTTCTTCGATCAACACGAGTTCTAAGCCTGGCGCTCATCAGCGCCAGCTGCCAAACGTCAACAACAGCGCTCGACAGGTAAGTGTCACCATAGCTCACACTTCCCCTTCTCTCGTCTGCCTCCTTCTCTCTCTCCCTCTATGTCTATAGTCCTGGTCTACCCTCACTCATCATGCATGCACACTCCCTATCACACGAGGATCTACTCTGAATACTACTCACTGGTATCTTCTACCGACTATCCTTACTAACATACTAACTAGCGCTGGCACAGCTATGGCTGCCTTCCCTCTCGCCATCATTCTCTTCCTCCTTCCCACATAGCGCTGCTCTTCAGCCTAGCGCAGCTCACACACATCTAGCGCACAAGTGCCACGACACTTCCACACTCTCATGCGAAGTGAGCATCTATCAAATGGGAGGCTGGCCAGTCCTTTATAGTGCTGGACTAGTCTGGTGTGCCCTGCATTCAGCCTCAAGTGTTCGGGACTCCTGTGTAGTACCCGTTGTTTCAAAGTGTGTGTCCCAGTATCTTTTCCCATGGTCTGCTGCTGCTTTGGGCCATCGGGCCCGTCTTTTGGACTCCTGGTCTGAATCAGGACTGACTCGTGGGATTATGACTGGACTGGGACTGTGGCCTTTGACTCATTGCCGAACAGACTGACTTTCCATCGAGGAGACATGACCCTTTCTCAGTCTTAAAAACTGTGTCCAATACCTGTTCCTTCAGGACCTGTTTGTGACTGTTCAAAATGACCTTTCATTTCATTACGGATGTGACATTTGCCTCAGGAACTTTCGCTGCTCGTGAATTTAAGTTCCGGCCGACAGGGCCCCTCACTGTTGGACATTCATCTGGGGTCTAATTCGTAAACGCCCTTTTATGTCGAATGGTTGGAAGTAAAAAGTCATGGATAGGTTTGGCATGTGAGATAAAGTGAGTTTGTCAAATGAGACTACGCTTTCCAGTTGGAAATAATTCCTCAAAACTTTCTATGACTGTTTAAACGCAAAAAATAATACCAAGTGGCTTCATGCAGGTATCTATACATGCTCATGCAGGTATGCTTGATTATGTGGGTTTAGCATCACTGATGGCATGGAACTCATGAACCTTTTAATCATCCAATCACAGAATATTGTATGCTGTCTGTGTAAGGAGGCGAAATGTTCCTTGCAGTGCTCGTCGCCGTGTGGCAGGAAGACCATATTGGAGCAGCAGTCTGTCCTGACATTGATCTTGCAATCAAGCTCGGGTAGAAGTGCACTGAAAAGACTAAGAGGCAAGCGCCAACAGTCGAGCACAATTGTTTTTGATTACATGATTACGTTATGCTTCTTTATCGGATTGGACGACCCTTTGAGGTGATGATGTGTGCAAGGGTTAGGTGCTTTAGGCCCAGCACGTGGAGAGACGCACTGCTTCAGCACAACAGCTCCGGTGTTATAGGCAGACTGCCATTCCGCCTCACCACTTAACCTTCACCTCTGCCACTCTCCCTCACACTGTTTCTTCTCACCTCATATTGCCCTCGTCTATTCGCACACTCGATATGTCTCCAGATGACTTGGCGCTGATGTGAGACACTGATGTGGTGCTGACATGGCACTGATGAATCGATGATATTGCATGTGGTCAGGTGCGACGACATGGCGGATCTTTATTGATTGCTACCTGCTTCGCTACCCGCTGTCATGTTTGCACAATGACGCACAGCAACATGCTTGGTTGGCAAGTCACGTAAGAAAGAGTTGCTCCATCATAGCAAAGCAGACAACAACTGTAACAACATACAACAATTTGTGTGCCAGGTCGCCTATGCCATATGTCATGATACAAGAGTCAGAAAACAGAGTCATCGTACATGCATAGAAAGCTGTGCAGCTTTGGCTGCACCCTGTCTTTCCCTCAATAGCACTCTGGCAAAACACTCCCTCATCCGAAAAGCTTCAGGTACACAAAACAAGGCAGGGTGCAATCGTACTTCTCCCTCTTCTCCACCTATCCCTCAACGGTTTACCTACCTACAGACTACCGGCTAAAGGGGGTAGCATCTAAACTACTGGCCTAGCAAAAGGCATCCCAGGTTGAACCCAGGATTATTAAGAGATGAACGATTGAACATGCACTTGGCCAAACATCAGGCAAAACTGGCGTTCAAAACCCAGTTAGGCCCACAGGAATTGAAACAATCAAGGGGCCATAAGACTGAGTGGGGAAACGATCGCGTCAGAACCTGTACAATACCTGTCTAACAAGCCAAAGCAGTGAATAAATCAACCTTCCGGGTTATCCTTATGCCCCTGTGAGGACTACGGGCGTTCAACTTGGTACCTGTGAGACGATATGTGATTAAGAAACAATGGGGCGGGGGGGGCATGGGGTGTATCACTCTGGTTCCTCGTCCACCAGCAAGTCACAACACACGTAGTAGGTAGTTACACAAATGCTCCTCCCCATTCTGGCTGGGTGTCCCAGGGCCCTTCAATGAAAGTCCGCCAGGGACCTCACCTCACCTAGTGAGAAAGGCAGGGCTTGGAGTGTAGGTGGAGGCACTTCAGGGTCACAATCGTCTGGCTTGGAATGCGGGAGGTTTGGTGAAATCAGCTGTACCGCCTGGCAGAGAGTCGTTGTTGCAAGCTTCGGACAAGATGAACCAGGAACCATGAGTTCCAATAAATGAGAGTTTACCATTCCCTCCTTCCTCTTCTAGTTCTTCCTTCAGTGCAAACCGGGTCCGCTGAGCGGATCTTCTGTGCAAGCGTGGTTCCCCGTTGTTGGCCGGACTGCCAGCACACAGCTCATCTCGACTACGGATCGACATCACACAGCACAAGGATTATGTGCTGCTATCTGTTTTCTCTTGTGTTGACATTCAATTCAGCTGTTAATTTGACCACATTCTGCTGTTTCCTCCTCGAGCACTTACACGCAGGTGCCACTTCGGTCGTCAAAATATTTATGCCACTCGCAATTTCACATCCTTTTCTGTGTTACTACGGTTGTCTTGGTTACCTCCTTTCTAAAGTTGCCAGCTGAGTTTGTGTGGAATGGTCACAATTAAGGCCACCGACGCCGTTCTCTAGCTGAGTCTATGCCAAGTTAATTCATGTTTGACCTTGTCCCTTATTTTCAGCTAGTAGGAACCATGGACATGAAATCTTATTTTCCCCTGCATTCCTAACAACCCAGCTTCTGAGCCTCTAGAAGGGGTTTAGGGCAGTTTAGGGATGGGAATCCGGTTTCAGGGTCTCATATTCTGCACGCACGTTCTCTGAGGATACTTTTCACATCCCTGCAGGTTCGCAGGAATACGACAAACAAAGGACCACTGCTGATCAGTTTGGCCTCGCAACGGCACGAGGGAAAGCCGAGAACGGGGCTGAAAGAGGAAAGCAAGGGAAAGAAAGAGACAAAAGCAGATGTGCAAATCAAACATGCCATGCACGGGTAGTTTACAATATGTCTTATCACCCAGGCAAGCAGTGCATATGTACAGCCTGCAGAGTTGACGTTATTGCTAGTGCAGAAACCACACAGATCAATCGTGATCCAGAGACACTGTTCGTGAAGCACATAGCAACAATGTGATTTGCCCCTTGCAGCCAGGGAATGCCAGATGGATGAATGGGCTTGGTTTCTTCTGCTCTGGCACCATGCTTGAAACAGGCGTTCAGCCAATCGCCCTTGCATGCTGAGGAGAGAGACGAAACATCATCCACACTAGCTGTCATTGCAACAGACATCATTTTCTTCCCTGTTTTCCTTGTCTGACACCTCCACTCTCAATGTACTGAATGGTAACACAGGGGTACATGTGTTATGTGCCTCCACTTTCCCACTGCCCTCACTGCATGTTACTCCGTTATCCGCACTCGCAGCTGCGTCCTCTGCCGCCCCAACCTCATCTGACCGAATCATGCCATTCCCCAACCCACTCGTCATTGTCGGCACGACTTGTTCTTTGGATAACGGACCAGATGTAGGTCCTCCACCTCCCCCCGCTTTGTTAACAGAACAAACTTGAGGATGTCCCCCATCAAAACTGCCTACTTCCAGTGCCTCCGTCTCTTGCGAGACGACAACTGACGCATTGCCACAGAGTGCCATGCCATCCCTTCCCTTCACTCCAACATTCGCCACAGCTTCACCAACATCTGATTGCTCTGTTGCATCTACAGCTGCAGTTTCCATGATCGTCTGCACAGCACGCTCAACTTTATCAGCTTTCTCCTTATAGGCCTCTAATACAGCTCCAGAAGTGAAACTATGCCTCTCCAGAATTCCCTCCTGCACCAGCCCCTGCTTCCACTGCCTTATGACATTATCAGAAGCATTCATGTCCTCGGCCCCCTCATCTTCAAGCTCTTCAATCCAACCACCTCTGGTCCGTGGACTTGAAGCTGCCCGTCGACCCCACTCGTTTTCCCACATTGGATCCTCTACTACTTCACTAACTACTCCCCACTCCGCTAAGTCGTCGGCCGCCTCTGAGTTCACTCGTTCTATCACAGATGACGGTGTCGCTACCGTACCAGATTCCTTATCACTGCCCTGTCCACATGCCACAACTTCTGCACATGCCACTTGGCATGGTGCACCTGATTTCTCTTGTGCCAAGAAAGAAACCAGGTCATCGACCTGAGGATTCCCTTCTTTGAATCCTTTCCGACTCTCCCTGGGGCTTTCACCACATTCCCTATTATCTGCAGCTGCCTGGCCTTGCAGACTAGTTTCCTCCAAGGGTGTTGATTCTAACTCTGACACATTCGGTTTCCCGTGGCTGCCCTTCTGATCCAGGCCTTCCCCTAAGCAAACACCTACCTCCTCCTTGGATGGACTTTCTACTAGTTTGACATCCTTGTCATCATTGGTGCTACGGGCCACGCATGTGAATGCCTCAATGCCTTCCCCATCTTCGCCTCCCCGATCGCTTGATTTGTCAGCAAATACTTCTGCACCCTCATCCGCCTTCTTGCCATTCACTTCCTTGCATGCAACCATCCCAGTTTCTTCATCAGTCTGATTCTCGGGAGGCGAACCATCAGCCGGTTCCTCCAAGAGGCAATCCTCCAGTTGTTTGATGCCAGAAACATCCTTCATCTCTGATATCATCTCAAGCACGGCACCGCCCTTGTCAATACACATCGCTGAGTCCATTTCGCCTGGAAGAGTGCTTGTCGCACAACTTTCAACAGTTACTTCCATCTCCAAGTCCACTGAACCTTCTTTTCCAACTGCTCCACCGTCAACATTCCCAGATGGTTGGCTGGCAGCACTCTTTGTCCCAAGCTCCTCTATGTGTCTGACATTGGCATTCATGTCAGCTGCAGCCTTGGACTTTGGTTGGTTTTCTCCCCCTTCAAGAGCACAGGCAAATTCCAATGCCACAGAAGTCATGCTCTCCACCCAATCACCATTTCCATCATCCAGTGAGGGCTGCAACTGGCAACCAGTTCCACGACCTGCAGGGTTCTCAATCTCCTTGACTCCAGAATCCATCGGGCCCTCTCCAGATGGCATTACTATCCCACTGTTCGCCTCTGCAGCTACCTCCCGGGAAACTGACTCAACACAGCCATTATGCAGTATCTGTTCAGCGCTGCCCGTGATCGACCCCTGTGAAAGCTCAGCGCCACCACCTGTTGATGGACCTGTTCCAGAACCCGTTGATGGACCAGCTGTTGGACCTGTTCTGGGATCTGTTGCTGTACTTTTCTTGGGACTTGCAGCAAGACCAACAACAGAATCTAAGGAACGTCCAAACGATGCCAAGAACGGTTCAGCACCGGTCATGGGCTCCAACAACGAGAACGATTCGTCTCCAATACCAACTGCTGTGGGCTCCAGCAACGCCAATGATTCATGATTTGCTGCAGCACAGTCCCGTTGCTCACCATCCTTTGCACCACCCGGGTCACCAGGTAGCCCAATCATTCCCGGCGGCACAGCAGTTGACATCTCATGTACTTCCTGGGCCAAGCCACTGTCACCGGCCAAGTTGGGGATCCTTAGAGAACAAGTGGCACAGCGGAAGGTTCCTGCAACTGGCTGGCACCGGTCATCAACCGACAACCCTCTCCCCAAGCCTGATTCCACCGGTGGCAATGGTACTGCCATAGAACCTGTGCGTCGCTCATAGGTGTTCTGAAGTAGAATTCCAATGATTTGACAATCATCATCCCCGTCATCATCATCATCATCATCGCCAGTAAAATCACCACTTTGGAGTTGACCTGGAACAGGTGCAGACTGACATACGTGCGACCGAAGGCCTAATACCAGGGAATGAAGACCAAGCTTCTTTGAGAACAATGCCAAATTGTCTACCTTCTGAGAGTCAGAGCTTCCAGTTGACCTCAAGCTTGAGCGGCCCTGTTTTGTGTAGTGCAACTGTGTTGCCGCACTTGGAGTTCCTTGCTGCATCCTCGCCATTAAAGATGGCAAAGCAGCAGTCTGATGGACAGAGAGGAAAGACCGCACAACTCGTGCAGAGGTCTGACCACAAGCTTCCACAGGAAGACGACAGGTTGACTCACTTCCTCCTGCCAGTGCTCGAGCACCTCCCCCAGGTACAGCAAACAAGGTTCCTTCTGCTGCTGACCTCTCGAACATTCGTCCCACCTGTGGATTTGCTCCTGGAGGAACAATCCTATTTGGTGCTGCTGCAGAGGTAGACTGACACTGGATGGGTGATATCGGCTGTGGCTGCTGATTCTCTCGACTTTGACGGAACTGAGGCTGGGATGGCAAAGGCCCTGCTGAGGAATGAGCCATTCTGGGGGTTTCTCCTGCAGCCAAGTTTGACAGCCAGACAGAAGTCCCTCCAGTAGAATGAACCTCTGATTGTGCGGACGCAGCTGTGACACGAAAATGTGTTTGTGACTCTGATGGCTGCAGTACGTGAGATGTCTTTTGTTGATGGATCAAACCAGCAGAAGCTGCAGGGCCTGCACATTGGCTTGGATTCAAAGCACAGGAAGGAACATGCATTTGACATTCAGCAAGGGTCGCTATCCCAATATGGCTTGTGGCCGATCCAGCCTGTTGCTGCTGCCTCACCATCGCTGCCATTTGTAGCTGTGCTTGGGCAGCCTGTGAAGCAGTGGCGGCGGCTGCAGCAACTGGGTTTGGAGATATCATCTGAGCCTGCGTGGAAGACAAGGCCTGATGGCCACTATGATGAGAGTTCGGACAAAGTGCCTTTGCAGCTGATGCCACTGCTGCTGCCTCTGCTTGAGAACCCCTCAAGATTTGCTGCACCGTTGCCACCTGTGACAGTGCTTGCATCTGTTGTTGATTTGAGGCTCGTTGAACCATATTTGCATGCACATTGACCTTATGGCCATCCGAGACCTGCTGCTGCCTTCCAGTCATGCCTTGCTGCTGCTGTTGCTGTAGCAGAGCCAACGCCTGCCAAGACAGACCAATTCCCACACCTCCACCAGCTGCCACTGTACTCACTTTTGTGGGATTACTAGCAGAGCTAGCATTCCCAGGAACAACAAACAGCCCACTGCCCATTGCTGCCGTTTGCTGCACATCTCCACCAAGTGCAGGCTGGGTGGCCGGGGACATGGTGGCACCAGGATGCTGCTGCTGCTGCATGGATGGCTGCAATGGCACCTGCAATGCCACCAATCTGGGAGACATCAGAGGATGGGTTACCCGTTGTCTCACTGTAGTTCTGCCTGCGCTATCTGGCTGGCCCTGCTGAAGCTGTGGTGGAGTCATCACCGACTGGGTGCCACTCTCAACTGGCACAGCAACAGGCGGCGGAGAGGCAGACACAACAGCTGCAGAAGACTGAGAGCTCCAAGCTTTAAAAAGGAGGTGATCACCAGCAGCTGCCAGGTCATATAATGATGTTGGTTTCTCTGCCGAATTCTGAATATCCACAGTCGATGTTGTGACACCACTAGATCCAACTCCCAGATCCTGCCTGGTTTCATAGGTTCCAATAGTATCATGGGGTGCCTGAACCTGAACCGTAGGCATGGCTTTCCCTCCTGACCTGTGCAGAGCAATAAGTTGCTGGGCGGTAGACACTCCAAGAGAATGTCCAAGCCTCAGGCTCCCTCCAGACCCGCCACTTATGCCAGCCTGCTGACGAAGAGCAGCAGCTGAAATTCCAGAGAGCCTTTGTGACCCTGCCACCTGTGGGTTTGACACAATCGCTGCCCGTTGCTGCTGTATGTTTATTGTACCTGCTTGAGTTGCCACAGAAGAAGGCATGCCCACATGCTGCTGCAATTGATGACGATGATGATGATGATGATGCCGCAGTTGCTGTAATTGCTGCTGCTGCTGCTGCAATTGTACTTGTTGTTGCTGGTGCTTCTGCAGTTGTTGTTGCTGCTGCTGCTGCAATTGTACTTGTTGCTGCTGGTGCTTCTGCAGTTGTTGTTGCTGGTGCTTCTGCAGTTGTTGTTGCTGTTGCTGCTGCAGTTGTTGTTGTTGCTGTTGCTGCTGCAGTTGTTGTTGTTGCTGTTGCTGCTGCTGTTGTTGTTGTTGCTGTTGCTGTTGCTGTTGCTGTTGCTGTTGCTGTTGCTGTTGCTGTTGCAGTTGCTGCTGGCGATTAATCGCTGAACTAAGCTCCAAGATCTGCCAAGCCAATTGTTCAGAGTGACTAAGTGGAATTGTAGCCCTTTGCTGAGCAGGCATTCGCTGACTAGATAACATCCCTGACCTCTGTTGTTGCGCAACTGCATTGCTAGCAATCCATTGAACTGACCCAGGAGCTGCATGATGGAGTTGCTCTGCTGCAGGCCGAGCTTGCTGCTGCTGCTGTTGAAGAGCTGCTAAGGACTGAGGTATGGACAGAAATGGTGCCCGCATGCACTGCTGCTGCGGCTGGTCATGATGATGATGTAACCGAACAGGAGGTGTCTGCTGTGCTGCTGCAGCTATGCACCCTGCCGCAGCCAGTTCAGATCGGAGGCCTGCATGCTCCATGCTTGCAGCCGGAGACGAGGTCGACATTGCTTCTGATGGTTGCAAGTTCACCGCCACACTACCCAGTTCCGCATCCTTCGTAAGAATTCGTTCCTGTGCTGCCAGGGGTCGTCCTTGATCAGCTGCCATCTTACGGTCATCTGGAAGACAATGATCTTCATCATCAATGATTATCAACTCCTCTGACCTGCTACTGTATCTTGGCACACTTGGCCTACTGACAGGATGAGCACTTTGTTTGGTCATGGAAGAAGGAGATACTGTCCCTGAACTCTGAGAGCTACCATCTATTGCCGCTGCCACTGCTCCCTTCTCCATCCGTCCGGTGTGCCTCTGTTGGGCCAGGCTTTGTTGCTGTTCCACTGAAACTTCACCGGCTGTTCCTGAGGGCACCACAACACTCGCCGAACATTGATGACATACTCGACCTTGCTGATCTTTCACAAGACTGTCGTGTTGAGACCTGGGAACCAACCCCTGATCGTCCTCAAGACGCCGAATAGGTGTACCTTCTGCCGAAGCATGCTGCAAGTTCTTCCTTTCCAACTGTTCGAGCAATTCTGGAGGCTTCGTGGGAGAAATCACCTCCTTGGACCCAATATGATGATCTACCATTTCAGGACCAACAAACCGCCGACGCAAGCGAGGCGGATGCTGCTCTTGATTGGGCCCTACGGCAGCACTAGCACTATCAGCAGAGGCAGCCTTGGGAATTTGTCGTACGGTACACTGCCTGTTGGAAGGCGAACCCGGCATAATCATGACATCCAGAGGGGATGCAGCATCCGGCCCTGACAGTAAACGAGACGGGGGTTGCAACTCCCTAATGCGCTCAGGAGGATTAGTTCCTTTGGGAGACATGCACACATTGCCACTATTATCCTCTCTCAAAGGGTTCTGCTCTACCCGAGAATCAGAACGCGTGGAATCTGGTGTCTTTCCTCTCGGTCCTTCATCAGGCGGGACAGGAAGAGGAGGAGGAGAAGAGAGAGGACGAGGAGAAACTTGCTGTCCTGACCCTTTCCGACTGTCAGGACTGTGCATTCGTTGGCTGGTGATCATGATCTGCTGCTTTCGTGGCTTCCCTCGCTCTCCTTCGGGGTCTGAGCCTGCATCCCTCGCACTGACAGCTTCTCCTGCTTCAGCCAGACATCCAACCCTCACTTCCTCGTCAACACCATCATTCACCATCTTCTCGCCTTTCTGCTTTGACTCCGCACTTCTAGTGACAGAATCCACATCTGCAGTCGTTCCCACTCTCGCCACAGATTCTCCCTCCACATCCTCCTTTCTCCGTTCACTCTCATCACCCTGATCTTCTCGGCGACCTGCCTCATTCCGAGAAGAACCCAACGCGTTCCCAGAAGAACACAGCACTGAATGCTTAGCGTTTTCACACTTGATACCCCGAGTAATGCCCACAAGCTCAACGGCATCCTCGTCACCGCTTCTATCTTCGGATGGTGAGGACCCTTTCAGACCTCTGCACCCACTCCCGGCATCCTTCATTCCTTCACCGTCTCGCTCGCGCTTGTTTAGCCTAGCCCCGTTGCCATCCACAACAGGAGGCCGGTCCTCATGGTGAAGAACAACCCTTGATTTCCCGCTCTCACTCTCTGACAGTCTCGTTCCGCTTCCACTTCCCGTACCAGGGTCACCACCTCTGACGACTTCTCTCCCGTCATTACCCCCCCCCCCTTCGGTGCTTGATTCACCAACTCCCATGTTCCTTCCTTGATCAGGATCATCTTCCTCCTCATCGGACTGATTAAGTGACAAGGTCCTCCCCGGGCTAAGGCGCCATGGGCTCTTCGCGCCTTCATCACACTGATGTGGTGATGTGCGCGCTGGGCTCAGGCACCCCCGTCCCTTCCTACCTTTCCTCCTCTTCCTCTCCCCACCCCAGTTTCCCTCACCATTTTTCCCAGATTTGCTGCTCCTCACTCCTTGCCCCTCCTCCTTCTTACCAATCGGAAAGTTAAGGAGTCTGTTCTCCTCGGGGCGCCTGCGGGCAGCTTCATCATAAGCCCGAGCTGCCTCTTCTTCTGTATCGAAAACCCCTAAATCAATACAAGCGGGATTCTTATTGTCTCGAAACTGGGCCAACCATTTTCCTGATGGCAGCCTCTTGACACCGATGTAGTTCACGGAGTATTGCACCCGTCCAGAAGCAGAAGGCGATGCAACCTTGGCCGTTTTCACATCTCTCTCTGCTGCTCCTGCTGCCGTTAGAGGAGTTACAGGTCTATCTATTCTTTCCCCTTTCCTTGAACCCTCTGATTCACTATGCGGTGGTGGAACGCATTTCAATTCCCGAGCTGACCCCCTTCTTCTTGAACCCACACTGCTTTTCCCGACGATCTCGCCCTCCTCTTCATCCGACCAGCACGGCTCCTCTTCCCCATCCTTACAGTTCGGATCCACTTCACCGTCCCACTCTCCTTCTGCCATGGTCTCCCCTTTCAGAACAAAAACCACCTTCTTCAGAACCGCCCCTCCTCCTTCCCTTCCTGCTTCCCTTACTCTTCCTCCTCCTTCCCTTACATCTTCCCTTACTACTACTCTTCCTCCTCCTTCCCTTACTCCTCCTCTTCCTCCTCCTTCCCTTACCCCTCCTTCCCTAACTCCTCCTCCTCCTCCTCCCTTACCGATAGCTCCTGCTCCATCCCTTGCTCCCCCCCTCCCCCCTCCCTCTTCCTTCCTCGTATCCGTTCCAACTCCCCCCCGCCTCCCCACCCCAACACCTTCATCCCCTCCGCCCCCTCCTCCTCCAGCCGCCCCCCGCCCTCCCTTTCGGGAGACGGAGCCGCTTTTTGTAGAATTCTCCAGCCCACGTGACGACTCTTTCGGGAAATTTAGGGGAAGGTTTCGTCCCCAGCGTAAAACTTCTCTGTCATAAGCTCGTGCAGCATCCTCCTCCTTTGCGAAGGACCCCAACAACGTACAGAGGCCACCGTTTGGGTCCTTTATCTCTGCAATAAAATTTCCCCATGGCCTTGGCGTGACGCCGTAATAGTTTCGTCCAACAGGAGCAAACATTGCCCCTCTCTGCCTCGAACACCCATCCCTTCGTCCTGCTGCATCTCCGTCCTGTCCTTGTCCGCCGAGCGCACTCTCGTCGCTTCCCCCTCGTTTCCCACTCTGCGCCATGACCGATCCCTCCACTCCGGCCCCTCGCCTCCCTCCTTCTTGCAACCCTCGTCGAACTGCCTGTCCACCGCTCTCGTCCTCCAAACCTCCTCTATCATTAGTCCCGCGTCCTGTTTCTGTCTTTCTTGCTCCGTCTTCCTCCCGCCTCGCCATGCCCATTTGCGTCGCCTTATGTCTCCTCCTCTCTTCCTCTTTCACATCCTTCACCGGAATCTCTCCCCCCGTCTTTCTGCCCTCGACACATCCTCTATCACTTCCCGCTCGCCCTACTGGCTGACCTCCTACATCGTCTTCCACCTTCACGTGCACTCGTGTCACCTTGTTCCGCCTTCTCTCGCTCTCTCTCGCATTCGAAACAACTAGCCCCGGGTGTTCACCAACCCTGCTGTGGTCATTATTCAATATCCTACCGCTACCAGATACATCAGCCTTCCTCTCGTTATTGCCAAACGTCGGAGAGAATCCTCGACCTCTCGCCGAGTGGGCCGGAGACATTCGCTCCGTGTGTGTTGTCACACGGGAAATACCTGCGGGTGTCACTCGCCCTCCCCCAGCCTCCCACCCTTCCTCCATCTTTACCACCGTTTTCCCGGACAAGCCCCCGATACCTTTTGCCCTCCCTTCCTGTTCCACTCGCCCTCTTCCATCGCCAGCATCATTGCCATGATCATCCTCACGTAGACAAGGTCGTTCAGCCCCTGCTGCGGTCGCCCCTGCTCTTTCATCGACAGCTCCCCTCTCCTCCTCATCCTCGTCCAAATCAGCGCCGTTACCGAGAGATTTCCCTCTCCTTGTGCTGCCGTTGTCCACTCGTCGCTCCACCAGTGCCTCCCCTGCGCGTGTTCCGTCCTTGGCCGGCATCGGCTCCCTCGCCACGGATGCAGCACCACGCCGCTCAGCAGAACAAGTGACTATAGAGTCCTTCCACTTCTTTTTCTTGCTTTTCTCGCAACATGCATCATCCCCGCTACCAGCAGCAGCACCACCACCACTCGCCGTTTCCACTCTTTCCTCTACCGCATCTCGTCTCCTTGCCATTGGCCTTTTGCCATCATCCCCGCCACGCGGCCCCACCTTGCCAGCATTCCCCGCGGAACCTCTAGAATTGGGTCTCGCTTGACCACCACTAGGACCATCCTCGGCACCATCGTCGCCATCACCGCCGACTACCTTCGCTTCGCCGCCCACGTGCCCGCCTGCTGTCGTCGATGCCGCCAACGCTCCAGACGCCAGAGGCAGATGCTCTGTCTTTGCAATCTCATGATCCGAGTGATCTGATCCCTCCACCAGTGGACGGAGCAAGCATCTCCTTT